GGCCCGGGCCACCACTTGGACAAGGCCCGGGCCACCACTTGGACAAGGCCCGGGCCACCACTTGGACAAGGCCCGGACCACCACTTGGACAAGGCCCGGACCACCACTTGGACAAGGCCCGGGCCGGGAGAATACCGGCGAATCTTTAATAATAATAATAATAAATGTTATTACGATTTCGTATTTCTTTTATGATATTCTGTGTCATTATCATCTCTCCTCTTTCCTTACTACGTGTCAGCGTGGACACCTGCGGTGTTTCCAGCATTTCCTCATACCAGTAGTTTATTTTTTAACGTTGGCAAGCATTTTGTATCTCTTGGACCTTTCTAACTTCTCAATATGTGTTTGTCGTGTGAGCACAACCGCTGCACGTTCCAATTTTGGTGTGATATATGTAAGTGCAGTTAAGAGTCCCTGGTAATTTATTCACTCTTACAAGGTTAGTATAGTTAACCAGTATTGAACGTCTGAACATATGATAAATGTACCTTGATTGCATCAAGGTCTGTCGTGAATCATTGATTACTTGGCGACCATACCAATTTCTCTCTCTCTCTCCCTCTCTCTCTATGTATATTAAAGTGCATACTTACCTAGTTGTGGTGCGGGAGTCGAATCTGTTCCAGAGCGCTCCCCTACTCACACACACACACACACACACACACACACACACACACACACACACACACACACACACTCACTCACACTCACTCACACTCACACTCTCACACTCTCTCACACACACACACACACACACACACACACACACACACACACACACACACACACACACACCTGCAACCACAAATAGGCGAGTACACATTAATATTTTAACGCAGGCCAGAGTGTCAGCCACATCGTCCTGTGAAGTGTGGAGGTCTACTCACGCAGCCTACTCAGCTGTTTAATGAAGACAGTGTGTTGCAGTTAGGTCAAGTCCAGCACCCGGGACACAAGTATCAACTAACTACACTCATCAGTCGTGATTAGCCAATCTCATAAGACACTAACAAATTAACTCCTCACCAAACTCACTGTTGATCCTCAGTACTGTAAGCTTATACAACTACGAGTATACATATATACAGCTACATAAATTATCATACATAGCAGCATATGTGTAGATTACCTACTGATTAAAATAATCCACGAATTATAATAACCTAGCGATTATCATCACACCAAACCGATCAAGTTGTCACAATAAACGTAGATTAGAGTGAGGGGACATACGCGCTGCGTCAACAATTAGTGGAGACTACGCATGTTGAGATGATACGCAGATTAGGAAGCAGCAGCAGTCACTACTGATGTTCGCACGCGCACGCGCACGCACACGCACACACACGTATACGCAAGAGTAACATCATGTAGCCTGGCGTATCCTGAACATCATAACTACGTCAACAACTACGCACATGCTCTGAAGACGCACGTGGCCGAATAAGCTTTTGTTATTTCTCAGTTGGGACAACGTTTTTCATTGCCGTGTGTAGACGTTTATAAAGTCCTGTTTCGCCCTCTGAAGATTTATCATGTCATGTTTCACCCTGTGCAAAGTTTTATCACGTTATCTTTCGCCCTGTGTATAGGTTTACCATATGTTTCACCCTGTGTAGAGGTTTATAATGCTATGTTTCACCCTGTGTAGAGGTTTATCATGATATGTTTCACCCTATGTAGAGGTTTATCATGCTATGTTTCATCCTATGTAGAGGTTTATCATGCTATGTTTCACCCTGTGTAGAGGTTTATCATGCTATGTTTCACCCTGTGTAGAGGTTTATGCTATGTTTCATCCTAAGTAGAGGTTTATCATGCTATGTTTCACCCTGTGTAGAGGCTTATCCTGCTATGTTTCACCCTGTGTAGAGGTTTATCATGCTATGTTTCACCCTGTGTAGAGGTTTATCATGCTATGTTTCACCCTCTGTAGAGGTTTATCATGCTATGTTTCACCCTGTGTAGAGGCTTATCCTGCTATGTTTCACCCTGTGTAGAGGTTTATCATGCTATGTTTCACCCTGTGTAGAGGCTTATCCTGCTATGTTTCACCCTGTGTAGAGGTTTATCATGCTATGTTTCACCCTGTGTAGAGGTTTATCATGCCATGTTTCACCCTGTGTAGAGGTTTATCATGCTATGTTTCACCCTGTGTAGAGGTTTATCATGCTATGTTTCACCCTCTGTAGAGGTTTATCATGCTATGTTTCACCCTGTGTAGAGGCTTATCCTGCTATGTTTCACCCTGTGTAGAGGTTTATCATGCTATGTTTCACCCTGTGTAGAGGTTTATCATGCCATGTTTCACCCTGTGTAGAGGTTTATCATGCTATGTTTCACCCTGTGTAGAGGTTTATCATGATATGTTTCACTCTGTGTAGAGGTTTATCATATGTTTCACCCTGTGTAGAGGTTTATCATGCTATGTTTCACCCTGTGTAGAGGTTTATCATGCCATGTTTCACCCTGTGTAGAGGTTTATCATATGTTTCACCCTGTGTAGAGGTTTATCATGCTATGTTTCACCCTGTGTAGAGGTTTATCATGCTATGTTTCACCCTGTGTAAAGGTTTATCATGCTATGTTTCACCCTGTGTAGAGGTTTATCATGCTATGTTTCACCCTGTGTAGAGGTTTATGCTATGTTTCACCCTGTGTAGAGGTTTATCATGCTATGTTTCACCCTGTGTAAAGGTTTATCATGCTATGTTTCACCCTGTGTAGAGGTTTATCATGCTATGTTTTACCCTGTGTAGAGGTTTATGCTATGTTTCACCCTGTCTAGAGGTTTATTATGCTATGTTTCACCCTGTGTAGAGGTTTATCATGCTATGTTTCACCCTGTGTAAAGGTTTATCATGCTATGTTTCACCCTGTGTAGAGGTTTATCATGCTATGTTTTACCCTGTGTAGAGGTTTATGCTATGTTTCACCCTGTCTAGAGGTTTATTATGCTATGTTTCACCCTGTGTAGAGGTTTATCATGCTATGTTTCACCCTGTGTAGAGGTTTATCATGCCATGTTTCACCCTGTGTAGAGGTTTATCATGCCATGTTTCACCCTGTGTAGAGGTTTATCATGCCATGTTTCACCCTGTGTAGAGGTTTATCATGCTATGTTTCACCCTGTGTAGAGGTTTATCATGCTATGTTTCACCCTGTGTAGAGGTTTATCATGCTATGTTTCACCCTGTGTAGAGGTTTATCATGCTATGTTTCACCCTGTGTAGAGGTTTATCATGCTACGTTTCACCCTGTGTAAAGGTTTATCATGCTATGTTTTAGCCTGTGTAGAGGTTTATCATGCTATGTTTCACCCTGTGTAGAGGTTTATGCTATGTTTCACCCTGTGTAGAGGTTTATCATGCTATGTTTCACCCTGTGTAAAGGTTTATCATGCTATGTTTCACCCTGTGTAGAGGTTTATCATGCTATGTTTTACCCTGTGTAGAGGTTTATGCTATGTTTCACCCTGTCTAGAGGTTTATTATGCTATGTTTCACCCTGTGTAGAGGTTTATCCTGCTATGTTTCACCCTGTGTAGAGGTTTATCATGCTATGTTTCACCCTGTGTAGAGGTTTATCATGCTATGTTTTACCCTCTGTAGAGGTTTATCATGCTATGTTTCACCCTCTGTAGAAGTTTATCATGCTATGTTTCACCCTCTGTAGAGGTTTATCATGCTATGTTTTACCCTCTGTAGAGGTTTATCATGCTATGTTTTACCCTGTGTAGAGGTTTATCAAGTCACGACAAAACCATACACAGAGAGAAACTAGAGAAACATAACTTGATCTCTTCTAGTCTTGCCAGAGCGAAACATTACGCTAAAACTCTACACAAGGCGAAACGTTGTCCCGGTAAAAGATTGTTCAGCAACGATTGTCTTCTTTCCACAGTTACCGGCAGTACATTTTAATCGTAAACACAGATGGAGGTGTGTCGGTCTAGCCAGGCTCAAAGTCCCCGTCTTGTGTAGGTCTATATCTGCCTCTGAATTATTCTCAATATTTTATACTTTGTGATTATTTTATGTGAATTGCTCAGGTTCTGCTAGTCACCACGTGCAAAACGTAGCACGGGGACGGTGCACTGGAGAGAACCTTGAACCACACAGTGAGTAACTATAGTTACAGTGTGCTTATAGCCACACAGTCACTATAGTTACAGTGGGCTTATAGCCACACAGTGACTATAGTTAGTGGGCTTATAGCCACACAGTGACTATAGTTACAGTGGGCTTATAGCCACACAGTGACTATAGTTACAGTGGGCTTATAGCCACACAGTGACTATAGTTACAGTGTGCTTATAGCCACACAGTGACTATAGTTACAGTGGGCTTATAGCCACACAGTGACTATAGTTACAGTGGGCTTATAGCCACACAGTGACTATAGTTACAGTGGGCTTATAGCCACACAGTGACTATAGTTACAGTGGGCTTATAGCCACACAGTGACTATAGTTACAGTGGGCTTATAGCCACAGTGACTATAGTTACAGTGGGCTTATAGCCACACAGTGACTATAGTTACAGTGGGCTTATAGCCACACAGTGACTATAGTTACAGTGGGCTTATAGCCACACAGTGACTATAGTTACAGTGTGCTTATAGCCACACAGTGACTATAGCTACAGTGTGCTTATAGCCACACAGTGACTATAGCTACAGTGTGCTTATAGCCACACACTGACTATAGTTAGTGTGCTTATAGCCACACACTGACTATAGTTAGTGTGCTTATAGCCACACACTGACTATAGTTAGTGTGCTTATAGCCACACACTGACTATAGTTAGTGTGCTTATAGCCACACACTGACTATAGTTAGTGTGCTTATAGCCACACAGTGACTATAGTTAGCGTGCTTATAGCCACACAGTGACTATAGTTAGTGTGCTTATAGCCACACAGTGAGCGCCTAGAACCAGACACACCTTCCACCAACCACAAACACAAAGACACTGACACACACATGAGGGTCTTACCGTCCAGAAACTTATGTTCCTCAGCTGGGAAGCAGACAAACAAAAGAACATCATTAGATACATATCCACGGATTTTTTCTGAATAAACACCAAGGATTATGAGGGATACATTATGAAGGATACATTGAGGGATACCTAAGGATCTGCTAGTAAACAATGGGGAATGAGGAGTGGATATAGAGATTCTGGAGACACAGAGTTATGAGGGATACATGAGAATTTGCTGATACACAAGGGGTTATGTATATATATTTTGGAGATACATGTTCTCTTTGAGGACACAGATATAGGGATTGTGAGTAGGCAATGTGTGATTATGAAGAAACATGGGGTATCATGGGGAATCTCCAGAGTTATGAGAAAACATGGGGACATGTGAGGATTCAATAAACTCTGGGAATTTCATAAGACATGGGGACTGGCATATAAATGGAAGGTTTGTATAAACGTGGGGGTACCAGAAGATATGGGAGACTTGAAAAGACTTAAGGATTAGATATGTGGGCTTCACAGTAATGGGTTTTGAATAAATATAGGTTTAAATGGACAATGGGACCACATACACACTAGAGACACTGAATAAACCTGAAGACCCATCAGAGTGTAGCACCACACATGAAGATTGAACAAGCAGAGGTCTACTAGCAGACACAGATATTATCAGTAACTAGAAGTTCCTAAACTTGAATTTCCCTCTATGGAGCTAGCTGCCCTCATGCCTATCATTTTCCTTGGATCAAACCTGAATGCCTCTCATACTATATGATCCAAAACGGGTTTATCGTTTCCTCCCGATTAAAAAAATAAAATAAAAATCTGAAACTGGAATATTCATATTTAAAGTCAATATTACACTTATGATTATAACTACATATATGTCGTGCCAAATACGTAAAATTTGCGATTTTGGCTTAAATAGCAACGCTCTTCTTGCCGAATAAAGCAAGCTAAAATTTGTAAGTCTTTGAGTAGTATAAGAATATATATGTTATAAGGCTACCGGGGCTGTAGGAGAGTTGTGTCACAGATGATGACCTCTGATGCAGACATGACACACAATACTGTCTGTGAAACTTTCCTATTAGAAGCCTCGTAGCCCAGTAGTAGAGTGCTGGACCTGCTACCATTTAGGACTAAGCCCGTTGGGATCATGCAGGACCAGGGAGATAATCAATCCAGTTTGATCCAAGAAAGATGGTCAATGAGTAGACCTGAAGATATGAAGAGATGAGTCACATCAAAGTATTATTGTTACACTTATGGGAAAATGCTGAACCTGACAGGATTCCTGAGCACCTGGGTAATGAGAGGCAATTTGGTTCGATCCACAGAAAGGAAACGACAGCTTTAGCCAGATTATTTTCTGCTTCCTTAGTGATTTGTTACCAGAGTTCTGACAAGAACCTCTCATTACAACAGCCAAGCATTAGTGCTCTCCCTACGCCTGAACGCCATTACCTCTTCCTTAAAATAACGTTTGGGCTGAGATCCAGTTGGATCACATTTCTTGGTGTACTTAGACGACTTGATCGGCATAACAAAACACGGAGATGCATTTTCAGAGCTTGGACTTAGTAATGGAAAAATTAGCTGATGCTAACTTGAAGATTAAAGCTTCAATGTAAATTTTTATAAGCAAGGATTAATTTTCTTGGTCACAGTCACTCCTAGAAGGATTACGACTTATCAAAGTAAAGTAGTTAATTGCCGTCCATAATATTTCAAACACACAAACAGCTGAAGTCATAAGATCTCTTGTGGGTTTAGTTGTTTTTTGCAGATACTCTATTACACAATTTTCGTCCACTGAAGCTCATTAATAGGACTGACCAGAAAAATGCTCCTTACAACTGGACCTTTAGTTATGAAATAGCATCGCAAGACACTAGACTAGGGGCAGTACCAACAGTGGAAGCTAGATGGATACAAGGATCCACACGGATGAATCTAGCCAGACAAGGGTCCACACGGATGAATCTAGCCAGACAAGGGTCCACACGGATGAATCTAGCCAGACACAAGGGTCCACACGGATGAATCTAGCTAGACACAAGGGTCCACACGGATGAATCTAGCCAGACAAGGGTCCACACGGATGAATCTAGCCAGACAAGGGTCCACATGGATGAATCTAGCTAGACACAAGGGTCCACACGGATGAATCTAGCTAGACACAAGGGTCCACACGGATGAATCTAGCTAGACACAAGGGTCTACACGGATGAATCTAGCCAGACACAAGGGTCCACATGGATGAATCTAGCTAGACACAAGGGTCCACACGGATGAATCTAGCTAGACACAAGGGTCTACACGGATGAATCTAGCCAGACACAAGGGTCCACATGGATGAATCTAGCTAGACACAAGGGTCCACATGGATGAATCTAGCTAGACACAAGGGTCTACACGGATGAATCTAGCTAGGCACAAGGGTCCACATACACTCACAACATACAACACCACGTTCAACATGTTACTGGTCTAACATCTTTGCTGTTAACATGACTGTTACCTGGAAAGAAACACAGCGACAGGTGTGTATAAGGACGGCTGCAAGCACAGAAATAACAGAAGTACAAACGGAGGAAACACTGGGGAAGAGGAACAATACCGTGGATGGAACAATATAGTGGGTGGAACAATACCGTGGGTGGAACAATACCGTGGGTGGAACAATACCGTGGGTGGAACAATACCGTGGGTGGAACAATATAGTGGGTGGAACAATACCGTGGGTAGAATACTGTGGGTGGAACAATATCGTGGGTAGAATTATTCACAAGTAATCCTTAATTTAGAGCTGTAATCTAGGCGACGTGTTGCTCTGTCTTTATTTATTCCCTTTATCATCAGAGTGTAACACTAAGCATGAAGGACCATACAGCAGTGTGAAAACTGGGGTGATCAAGGTTGATCTGAGGAAGGGAAGGGTAGTTCCCTTACACCAGGAGCCCTTCACCAGCATTATGGCGCCCTCTTTGAAGGGAATCAGTCGAAAAGGGATCAGTCTGAAGGGTAATCAGTCTGAAGGAAGTCAGTCTGAAGGGGCTCAGTCTGAAGGGTAATCAGTCTGCACTTAGAGTATTTAACAAATGATCCAGAAAAAAAGGAACGTCGGATAGTTTTCAGTTAGAGTTAAGATTTACCTGAAGACAGATGTTTATAAAACATGTCACACACCTGTCTCACATATGTTGTGTGTGTGTGTGTGTGGTGTGGGTGTGGTGTGTGGTGTGTGTGTGTGTGTGGGTGTGTGTGGTGTGGGTGGTGTGTGGGTGTGGTGTGTGTGGTGTGGGTGTGTGTGGTGTGGGTGGGTGTGGTGTGGGTGTGTGTGTGTGTGGTGGTGTGTGTGGTGTGTGTGTGTGTGTGTGTGTGTGTTGGGGTGGTGTGTGGTGTGTGTGTGTGGGGTGTGTGTGTGTGTGTGGTGTGGTGTGTGTGTGTGTGTGTGTGGGGTGTGTGTGTGTGTGGTGTGTGTGTGTGTGGTGTGTGTGGTGTGTGTGTGTGTGTGTGTGGTGTTGTGTGTGGTGTGTGTGTGTGTGGTGTGTGTGGTGTGTGTGTGTGTGTGTGTGTGTGTGTGTGTGTGTGTGTGGTGTGGTGTGTGTGTGGTGTGTGTGTGTTGGTGGTGTGTGTGTGTGTGTGTGTGGTGTGTGGTGTGGTGTGTGTGTGTGTGTGTGTGGTGTGTGTGGTGTGTGTGGTGTGTGTGTGTGTGGGGTGTGTTGGTGTGTGTGTGTGTGTGGTGTGTGGTGTGTGTTGTGTGTGTGTGGTGTGTGTGTGTGTGGTGTGTGTGTGGTGTGGTTGTGTGTTTGGGTGGTTGTGTGTGTGTGTGTGTGTGTGTGTTACTGTGGTACAGGGTGTAGTATAATGTGTGTGTGTGTTACAGTGTTAACCAGGTGGTCAAGAGGTAAAATCATCACGGTAGTGAACAGGTTACAGGTAGAAAGGAGTAGGATCAGGTTCAAGTTAGACTAAAGAACAGGTGTAACAGTTAGCATAGTAAAGTTACAGGTAATGAATAAGTTGTCAACAGGTAACAAGTTAGACAAAGGTGGATGTGTAACAGTTTGCAGTAGTAAGTGACAATAGGTGAAGTGTGCAACAGGTAACGTGTGAAACAGGTAACATGTTACAAAAGTGTGACGATGTAAACAGGTACAAAGTACATGATAGGTAACGTGTCAACAGGTAGACAGTGAAGGTGTTATAGTATAGACAGTGTGGTGTGTATAGTGTATGACGTGTGGTGTATAACGTAGTGTGTCAAGTAAGAGTGGGTGTATAGTGTATGACGTGTGGTGTGTATAGTGTATGACGTGTGGGTGTGTATAGTGTATGACGTGTGGGTGTGTATATATGACGTGTGGGTGTGTATAGTATATGACGTGTGGGTGTGTATAGTGTATGACGTGTGGGTGTGTATAGTGTATGACGTGTGGGTGTGTATAGTGTAGAACGTGTGGGTGTGTATAGTGTATACGTGTGGTGTGTATAGTATATGACGTGTGGTGTGTATAGTAAATTGACGTGTGGTGTGTATAGGTATGACGTGTGGTGTGAATAGTATATGAACGTGTGGGTTGGTATAGTGTATGACGTGTGGTGTGTATAGTATATGACGTGTGAGATTTATAGTGTATGACGTGTGGGTAGTATAGTATATGACGTGTGGGTGTAAAGGTATGACGTGTGGGTGTGTAATAGTGTTATGAAGTGTGGGTGTGTATAGTATATGAAGTGGGTGTGTATAGTATATGACGTGTGGGTGTGTATAGTATATGACGTGTGGGTGTGTATAGTATATGACGTGTGGGTGTGTATAGTATATGAAGTGTGGGTGTGTATAGTATATGAGTGTGGGTGTTGTGTATGAGTGTGGGTGTGTATAGTGTATGACGTGTGGGTGTGTATAGTGTATGACGTGTGGGTGTGTATAGTATATGACGTGTGGGTGTGTATAGTATATGACGTGTGGGTGTGTATAGTATATGACGTGTGGGTGTGTATAGTTATGACGTGTGGGTGTGTATAGTATATGAGTGTGGGTGTGTATAGTATATGACGTGTGGGGTGTGTATAGTGTATGACGTGTGGGTGTGTATAGTATATGACGTGTGGGTGTGTATAGTATATGACGTGTGGGTGTGTATAGTATATGACGTGTGGGTGTGTATAGTATATGACGTGTGGGTGTGTATAGTATATGACGTGTGGGTGTGTATAGTATATGACGTGTGGGTGTGTATAGTATATGACGTGTGGGTGTGTATAGTATATGACGTGTGGGTGTGTATAGTATATGACGTGTGGGTGTGTATAGTGTATGACGTGTGGGTGTGTATAGTATATGACGTGTGGGTGTGTATAGTGTATAACGTGTGGGTGTGTATAGTGTATGACGTGTGGGTGTGTATAGTGTTAACGTGTGGGTGTGTATAGTATATGACGTGTGGGTGTGTATAGTGTATGACGTGTGGGTGTGTATAGTGTATGTACGAGGTGTAGCAGTGTAGATGTTGCGCTGGTTAAGCGTAGATGTTACTCATAAAGCCTAATTATGTACATACAGAGAACAAATGGGTACATACGAAGCTTAAGCGTGTACACTGCAGAAACAAAGCGTAAGTGTGCACAAGTATCGCCGAGAAGGTAAACTGGTCACTTAGCAACAACTTATTTAAAATTAAGTCCTTTCTAAAATTTTCTCTTATACGTTTAAAGATATATATTTTTTTCATTCATGTTAATGTAAAAATTAATAATTTCGTACCTGGAAAATCTTAGAAAACTTACATAACATTATTATAACAAGCGCAATTTAATTTAGCCTAATTCAACTAAATATATTTTATATAAGTTTACAAAATTTAATAATACAAATCCAATGTAAATATATTTTTTTACGTTAGGTTCAGAATGATTTTTTTGCATTCATTACATTCACAAAATTATTTGTTCCGTAATTCTGCTAGAAACAGCGTTAAGCTTATTTAAAGCCAAAACGCAATTTATTACCTATTCGCACACAACACAATCTTTATATAATAATAATTTATAATAACAATCATATGATATATATTTATTTATCGTATTAAATATTTAATATTATATATACAATATAGTTCTATCAAAATTTATTTAACATATATAATTTTACTATTCAGACATCAATTATATATATATATATATATATCATATATATATATATATTATATAATATATATATATATATATATATATATATAAAAAAGCGTAAGTGTGTACGCAAACATTTGCGTTTTACGCACAGAACACAGCCACATAAAGCATGTACGTAAAAAAACAAATCACGCACACGAAAACCGTGTGTTCTGGCAGATACACAGAGCGTAAGTCCATAAAACCACAGGCGTGCAGGTCCAGTAGCATATCTTCAGCGTTGTGTGATGTGTTTGTGTAGCATGTGTGTTGGTGTGTTGTGTGTGTGTGTGATGTAAGTGTGTGTGTGTTGTGTGTGTGTGTGTGTTGTGTGTGTGGTGTGTTGTGTGTGTGTGTGTGTGTGTGTGTGTGTGTGTGTGTGGTGTTTGTATGTGTGTGTGCGTGAAAGTGACTCACCTTCATGATGAGGTCATCGTCGTCCTGGATCTTACTGGTGTACATGATGCGACCAGCCTGCCAGTCCTCCATCAAGTGTCTAACTTCCTCACGTTCAGGATCGATCAACCTCAGGGCCGTCACGTTCGATCCTCCGTACTTGAAATCTTCCAGGTTGACCAGGTGCAAGTCCTGCAACACCACCACACAACACACACAGCATTATTTCCTGCAACACCACCACACAACACACATGATATTACTGGCTGCACTCTGCCTGCCACCATCTCCTATATTAAGGAGTAAGGTAATGCATTGTGTTACTAGGTGATACATTGTGTTACTAGGTGATGCATTGTGTTGCTAGGTGATACACTGTGTTACTAGGTGATGCATTGTGTTACTAGGTGATACATTGTGTTACTAGGTGATACATTGTGTTACTAGGTGATACATTGTGTTACTAGGTGATACATTGTGTTGCTAGGTGATGCATTGTGTTGCTAGGTGATACACTGTTACTATGTGTATAACTGTGTTATAGGTGATACATGTGTTACTAGGTGATATACTGTGTTACTAGGTGATATACTGTGTTACTAGGTGATATACTGTGTTACTAGGTGATATACTGTGTTACTAGGTGATATACAGTGTTACTAGGTGATATACTGTGTTACTAGGTGATATACTTGTTACTAGGTGATATACAGTGTTACTAGGTGATATACAGTGTTACTAGGTGATAACAGTTGTACTCAGTCGAATACGAATAATTGTAACTATGATAATTAGTTATAGTAGTAACTGATAATTATAAGATAGGTATAGGTAATACATGTTCTAGATTAGTGTTTATATTACGAAATGTTCTGGTCGATATACAGAGTTGGGAATACCGTGTGAGAGGGATAAAATGTACAGTGTATCAGTTGTCAACGTGAATAAGTTTATGAGGTGGTATCACCTTACTTGAGATACGTGTTCAACTATTGTTCAAGACTGTGTTTAGGTGAATACATGTTATATGCAACAGTTTAGGCAATCTTTTACTCTCGATAACGTTTACAGGCGCTACACAGGTAGGTATCTTTCAGTCAGTACAGGATAAAGTTGATAGAGCAGAATTTCACATTGTTCAACTATAAACATGAACAGATCTGTAGCTGAGGGACTGGATACCTGGTGACTACTACTGTCACTGGGTTAATGGACTAATCGCATATCTGTTACCTCTCCACTGCTTCTACGGGATCTCTGTATTCAGATAACTCTAATTCGACCATGAGCCTGCATGTGTAGGCAACGTTTCGCAATAAAGCAACTAGTGTTCATATGTTTACTTATATACGTCTACGGTGCTGGGTTCACAACTTACGTGTACAGGTGTATACGGAAGGGGTTCACATTCGAATAAGTGTCACATACTGACTAGCTACTGGTAGAAAGGGGTCACATCAAGGGGTCAACTGGCTACTAGTAAAAGGGTGGTTCACATCAGGGTACATATGGACTAGTGAACATGCACAAGGTGTCTACAATGTTCTAGGTGATTACAGGCAACTAGGGCAATCAAGTGTCTACAATACACGGTGTACAACTGATTCAGGTACTAGGAATCAAGTGTACAAGGTGCAAGCTAGTGTCAAGCAAGGTGTCAACAATCACTCAGGAAGATATATCAGTAGTTATGGGAAGGAGGGAATCATGCGATCTGCTGACTTGCTTCTATGTCAGCTGTTCCACGGTTTCTGTCTGTGCAGTCAGGTTATGTTACTGCGTTACAGTGATTCACTTCACGTCGATTCAGCAGGGCCCTGTCACAGGAGAACTGCTTTACACTAGTAATACAGTGCAAGAGCACAGCAGGGCAACTATCACTATCACCATCTGGCTGAGCATAAAGAATATATAACATGTAATAATTACAAGACCTGGCATCATGGCTTATGTAGAAGACTTAGCATCATCTTCAGTGGATCCTACATTGGTCATAGAGTTGGCGATACGTGAAGGGAAATTGACGTGATCAGTCGTCAACCTTGAATAAGTTGTTTGAGGTGGTCAGTCCCTCAGCTTGGAGAAGTGTTCAACATTGTTCAAGACTGTTTGGCAAGACACATATGCAACAGTTAGGTATCTTTATCTCGAAACGTTTCGCCTACACAGTAGGCTTCTTCAGTCGAGTACACAAAAGTTGATATAAGCAGAATGTTCACATTGTTCAAGACTATAAAACTGAACACATCTGAAGGCTGAGGGACTGACTACCTTGGAACTACTACTTCAGGGTTGATGGACTAATCGCATCATCTTTACCTCTCCACTGCTTCTACGGTCTCTGTATTCGAAAACTCTAATTCGACCCATGAGGCCTGCTGTGTAGGCGAAACGTTTCGCAATAAAGCAACCTAATTGTTGCATATGTCTTACTTATCTACGTCTCGGTGCTGGGTCACAACTGACCTAGCACAGGTAGCAAGGGGGGGTCACATCAAAGGGTCACAACTGACCTAGCACTGGTAGAAAGGGGGTCACATCAAGGGGTCACAACCTAGCACTAGTAGCAAGGGGGTCACATCAAGGGGTCACAAATGGCACAGAACAAGCAACAAGGTGTCACAACTAGTCTAGGACAGGCAACAAGGCAACAAAGTGTCACAACACGGTGTCACAACTGATCTAGGACAGGCAACAAAGTGTCACAAAGTGTCACAGCAAGGTGTCACAGCAAGGTGTCACAGCAAGGTGTCACAACTCACCAGGGAAGAGATGATGTAGTTATGGAAGGAGGACATCATGCCGATCTGCTGAGCTTGCTTCAGCACTGTTCCCACGTTCTCTGTCTTGCAGTCCAGGATGATGTTCTGCTCCAGTGTCCCCTTCACCTCGTTCAGCAGGGCCCTGTCAGCAGGAGAACCTGCTTACACTAGTAATCAGTGCAAGAGCAGCCAGCAGGGTCAACATCACCTATCACCATCTGGCTGAGCAGAAAGATCGTATCATCTGAATCATCTGACAAAGATCCTGGCATCATCTGGCTTATCTGTCAGAAGGATCTTAGCATCATCTGGCAGATGGATCCTAGCACCATCTGGCTCGGTTGGCTGAAGAATCCTAGCACCATCTGGCTCAGTTGTCAGTATCCTAACACCATCTAACTCCTTCAAGCCTTCAAGCATACACTTCAGACTTAATAAATTCACGCCACCTGGTGAAGAATTTGGCGAATTCTACAGAACTCGCCAAATTCCCAAAGAACTTGCACAACCCAAGGACCCAGGATCAATTCCGGGCAAGTAGTGTATGGGCAACTCACCTCATACCTGCTGCCGCTGATGACCTAGTAAGTAAACAGGTAATGTGGCTGGACTGTAGAAGACCTGAGGTAGGATAGCAGCTACTAGCCTGTCTGGAAACTTACTTGACTGAATGGAAACACTGCACAGTCTATTTGACTGACTGGAAATCTATTAGATCGACTGGAAATCCAATACGGTCACTGTACACCAGCAGGATGGAGTGGGTCTGTGAACACCTGCATGGTGAAGTTGCAGGACTCACCTGTAGTCATTACCGCGAGGCAGTTGTCTAATGGAGACTTTGAACTCGTTGGGCGAAGGAGTCTTGAGCAGCTCCTGCATGCGCACCAGACCCTCGTTATCCTCGTACAAGATGCAGAACGAACGCCACCCGAACAGTCGAACAAGGTCCAGGTATGCCTGTTGACACAACACGTACATGTGTAGTAGATGCAGCAAGTAGTAGCAGCACTGGTAGTAGTATTAGTAGTAGTAATATTAACAGTAGTACTAGTAATAGCAATAACATTAGTAATAGTAGTTTCTCCACTCTGGTATCAGGTATAGGTGAAGAGTAACGCTAATGTTCAGATGGACACAGTACGTAACGCCCATGTCAGGCCAGACCTGTGAAACTTGTTCCTCCACTCCTGAGACTCACTCTGGCAACCACTGCACTTCAACATAACAATATGACAAAACGGCACTGAAGCAGAAATCGGCAATTATTATTTATTATTATTATATTCACAAGAAAGCACTCAACACAAATGAATCATATAACATGAAATGGTAGGGAAAAGACGTATACAGAAGGCACTGCAAGAGAGATCGTCAAATTCTAGAGAGAAGTGAAGTACAGAATGATGTTGATACATCAGCATCAGTCGTAGCAGCCTTCACCTCAGCATTCTCCTGTTCAGTACCAAGGACCCCGACCAATCCCGGGCACCAACATAACATTTAAAATTTTTATTATGCACCATATACCCAGCCCGTTCAGAATATTTGGTGCCAGAGACTGGCACCAGATATTCTGAAAACTAAGCTTTCACAGTGGTAATGAAGTATTTACAAGTATACATTTTTTTTACAGATACGAATTCAGTTCCTAAAACATTACACTGAATTTTACATAGAAATTATTAATTATTTAAAATATCCAACAATATAGCAAGGTATGGTCGACTATTACAAAGTTTAAGTCTTTGTAAATTATTTACAAAGGACAAAGTAAGCATATTTTTCCAGCATGGTTAGTAATATACCACTGTGGGGAAAATACTTTGGTATTTATTGGACATCTGTGAGTTGTCTCTTAATTCATTATTTCTCGTAGTACTGGTAACGCACCGGAAGTGAATACTGGTAACGAGGTGCTAGATGTTGTGAACTATGAAGTACAGAGGATCATAATGAGCCAGAACTAACCAGAGCAGTTTAGAGCAATATTCGACAGGGAAGCAGGAGGTACAAGTAAGTTACTCCCCTTGCTGATGAAGGAGGGAGGTATTCACCTTGCTGAGATATAAGGGGGTACTCACCTTGCTGAGAGAGGAGGGGGGTACTCACCTTGCTGAGAGAGGAGGGGGGTACTCACCTTGCTGAGAGAGGAGGGGGGTACTCACCTTGCTGAGAGAGGAGGGGGGTACTCACCTTGCTGAGAGAGGAGGGGGGTACTCACCTTGCTGAGAGAGGAGGGGGGTACTCACCTTGCTGAGAGAGGAGGGGGGTACTCACCTTGCTGAGAGAGGAGGGGGGTACTCACCTTGCTGAGAGAGGAGGGGGGTACTCACCTTGCTGAGAGAGGAGGGGGGTACTCACCTTGCTGAGATACGAGGGAGGTACTCACCTTGTTGAGAGAGGAGGGGCGTTACTCACCTTGCTGAGAGAGAAGGGAGGTACTCACTTTCCTGAGAGAGGAGGAGTGGTACTCACCTGAGAGAGGTGTGGTACTCACCTTACTGAGGAGGGGTGGTACTCACCTTACTGAGAGGGGAGGGGTTGTACTCACCTTACTGAGAGAGGAGGGGTGGGGGTAGAGGTTGACAGAATAGTCGTCACGTCGTAAGCGGTAGTCCCAGCGCGTCTCGATGTGAGGGATGGAGAGAGCATCACAGATGGACTGGACGTGGGCTGAGGTCTGACCAGACTGAGGGCCGAAGATAGCAGCAACACCAGATCTCACCAGGGCACACACTGCAGGGTGAGACACACTCACTTACTGGGCACATGTGGCGAGAGACAGGTGCTGAGACAGGTGATAAGACACGTGATGAGACACGTGATGAGACACGTGATGAGACACGTGATGAGACACGTGATGAGACACGTGATGAGACACGTGATGAGACACGTGATGAGACACGTGATGAGACACGTGATTGAGAACGTGATGAGACACGTGATGAGACACGTGATGAGACCACGTGATGAGACACGTGATGAGACACGTGATGAGACCACGTGATGAGACACGTGGCCTGATGAGGACAGCGTGAGACTGAGAGACAGGTGGTGAGAGGTAAATTTTTCTGCACAGGATTTCACAAACATATTAGTTAACCGAAGCCCACATTTTTATTTTGTGCAGAGCTAAAATCCATTGGAACGTTAAGGCCAGGTGTTAGGCTCGTTCTCGTCTCTTCATCAGTCAGACAGTATAACTGCCCGTGACGACACAGGTGTAGACATATAACACATGCATGTGAGCCGGATAAACGTTTCGTCACTTGTAGAGTAGTGCTGGGTAATTGTGACACCATTGTGTCTTGTTGAATGATCCACCACCTGACTACGGAACCTGGAACATGACACCCGCACACCACCACCAAGACAACCCACCACCCATCATTCGACACCATAACCTTTGCAACCACACCGTTCTACCATTAGTATTCGTTAAAATAACTTGACACGTAACACAAAGTCGTGTTGATCGCTATCACAGTAATTATCTCACAAGAACTTGCGTTAAGTCACAGTGAGATTAATCAACTTGAATTTTTATGCCCCTGAGTAACCACAACTATTGGAAGTTTGTCTTGCTTGTGTTGAGGTTGTGTTGAAGTGCTGACACAGTGTTGGTGTGACCGTGATGTAACACCAGTGTTGAGTTAACGGTTGTGTTGAAGTGTTGACACAGTGTTAGTGTTGTGTTGAAGTGTTAGACACTCAGTGTTGAGTGTTGGTTGAAGTGTTGAACGTGTTAGTGTTGTGTTGAAGTGTTGCCGTGTTAGTTTGTGTTGAAGTGTTAAGCACGTGTTTGAAGTGTGTTAGCCTGAAGTAAGTTAATGTTGGAGTGTTGTGTCTGTTAGTGTTGGAGTGTAGTGTGTGAGTTGGGTTGTGCAAGTGTTGAGTGTTGTGTTGTAAGTGTTGAACCAGTGTTGAGTGTTGTGTTGATGTAGTGTTGGGTGTAGTGATGTTGTGTTGAGTGTTGAGTGTTGAGTGTTGTGTTGAAGTGTTGCGTGTTGGTGTTGTGTTGAGTGTTGAAAGTGTGAGTGTTGTGTGAAGTGTTGTAGTGTTGAGTGTGTGTTGAGTGTTGACAAGTGTTAGTGATTGTTGAGTGTTGAGTGTTGAGTGTTTGGGTGAGTGTGAGTGTTGGGTATTTGTAGTGTTGGTGTTGAGTGTGTGTGTTGGGTTGTAGTGATGTAGTGTTGGGTTGTGTTGAAGTGTTGTCAGTGTGAGTGTTGTGTTGTGTAGTGTTGTCAGTGTTGGTGTTGTGTTGGTGTGTGATGTAGTGTTGGTGTTTTTGATGTAGTGTTGGTGTTGTGTTGGTTGTGTAGTGTGAGGTGTGTAGCGATGCAGTGTTGGGTTGTGTTGATGTAGTGTTGGGTTGTAGTGTTGTTAGTGTTGTGTTGTAGTGATGTAGTGTTGGGTGTGTGTGTAGTGTTGGGGTGTATGTGTTGGGTGTGTGATGTGGTTGGGTTGTAGTGATGTAGTGTTGGGTGTTGTGTTGGGTGTAGTGTGGGTTGTGTTGAAGTGTTGCGGTGTAGTATGTGTGTGGTGTTGTAGTGATGTAGTGTTGGGTGTGTAGTAAATGTAGTAGTTTTGGGTGTAGTGTTGTGTAGTGTGGGTGTAGTGATGTAGTGTTGGGTGTTAGGTAGTGTTGGGTGAGTGTATGGGTGTTTAGGTGTGTAGGATGTAGTGTTGGGTGTAGTGATGTAGTGTTGGGTGTAGTGATGTAGGTTGGGTGTAGTGATGTAGTGTTGGGTGTAGTGATGTAGTGTTGGGTGTAGTGTTGGTAGTGTTGGGTGTGGGATGTAGTGTGGGTGTAGTGATGTAGGTGGTTGTGTGTGTGTTGGGTGTAGTGATGTAGTGTTGGGTGTAGTGATGTAGTGTTGGGTGTAGTGATGTAGTGTTGGGTGTAGTGATGGTTGATGATTAGTGTTGGGTGTAGTGATGGGTGTAGTGATGTAGTGTTGGGTGTAGTGATGTAGTGTTGGTGTAGTGATGTAGTGTTGTGTGTGATGTAGTGTTGGGTGTAGTGATGGTAGTGATTGTGTTGGGTGTAGTGATGTAGTGTTGGTGTGTAGTGTTGGTGTAAGTGTTGTAGGTGGTGTTGGGTGTAGTGATGTAGTGTTGGGTGTAGTGATGGGTGTGTGATGTAGTGTTGGGTGTAGTGATGGGTGTAGTGATGTGTGTTGGGTGTAGTGATGGGTGTTAGTGATGGGTGTAGTGATGGGTGTAGTGATGTAGTGCTGGGTGTAGTGTTGGGTGTAGTGATGGGTGTAGCGATGTAGTGTTGGGTGTAGTGATGTAGTGTTGGGTGTAGTGTCAGCCTGAACTGGTAGACCTCATCACAACACTGAGGATACATCCTCCAGTATTCCATTAAAGGTTCCTCAGCTAGGACAGCTTCAACAGTGTCACCCAGCAGAGCTGCGGAAAATCACTCGGGAAAACTTGCAAGGAAACTCTACGGTCAGACACACCCTCATTTCACTTAACGAGGTACAACGTGTAGTGGCTTCCGTTGATACAATATCTCACGGCTCCTATAAATTAAAGACACCAATTTATCTCCTACGCACAGAATGGAATTTATGGGGAATTTCCAACAGTATACATAACCGGTACATCGGTGAAAAAAAAACTTACACGACATTTCGATCCGAATTGCACCAATAATTATTGACACAGAAAGGAAGAGAGCAAGTATATATACCAGAGGAGGATGGTACCGGGAGAATGATAGAGTAGTAGTAGTGGTAGTAGTAGTAGTATTAGTGGTGTAGTGGTGGTGGTGGTGTGTGTGGTGGGTGTAGGTGGTGGTGGTGTGTGTGTGTGTGTGTGTGTGTGTGTGTGTGTGTGTGTGTGTGTGTGTGTGTGTGTGTGTGTGTGTGTGTGTGTGTGTGTGTGTGTGGCGTGCGTGCGTGTGTGCGTGCGTGCGTGCGTGCGCTCTTGCATATCACGCAATGCCAGGGGTCTTGATAAATTCCTGACGAATTTATCAATACTCTTGGGATATGATTCATCAGAAATACATTCACATACAGAAATACACTTAAACAGAGTTAGAATCCCATGCCGCATCCTCAGACAGACATTTATATACCGTCCCAGGCCACACCCTGCCCACTACAGCCTTGCTACCAGGCCACACCCTGCCCACTACAGCCTTGCTACCAGGCCACACCCTGCCTACTTCAACCCTGATACCAGGCCAAACCAAGCCCGCTACAACCCTGCTACCAGACCACACCCTGCCCACTACAGCCTTGCTACCAGACCACACCCTGCCCACTACAGCCTTGCTACCAGGCCACACCCTGCCTACTTCAACCCTGATACCAGGCCAAACCAAGCCCGCTACAACCCTGCTACCAGACCACACCCTGCCCACTACAACCCTGCTACCAGGCCAACCAGTGCCTACTACAACTCTGATACCAGGCCAAACCAAGCCCGCTACAACCCTACCAGACCACACCCTGCCCACTACAACCGTGCTACCAGGCCACACCCTGCAAACTACAACCCTGCTACCAGGCCACACCCCGCCCACTACAACGCTGCTACCAGGCCACCCTTGCACACTACAACCCTGCTACTAGGCCAAACCCGGCCCACTACAACCCTGCTACCAGGCCACACGCTGCCCACTACAATCCTGCTACCAGGCCACACCCTGCCCACTACAACCCTGCTACTAGGCCACACCCCGCCCACTACAACCCTGCTACCAGGCCACACGCTGCAAATTACAACCCTGCTACCAGGCCACACCCTGCCCACTACGATCATGCTACCAGGTCACACAATGCCCACTACAACCCTGCTACCAGGCCACACCCTGCTCATTACAACCCTGCTACCAGGCCCCCACCCTGCCTACAACCCTGCTACCAGGCCACACAATGCCCACTACAAACCTGCTACCAGGCCACACCCCGCCCACTACAACCCTGCTACCAGGCCACGCCCCGCCCACTACAACCCTGCTAGTAGGTCATACCCTGCCCACTACAACCCTGCTACCAGGCCACACCCTGCCCAATACAACCCTGCTACCAGGCCACACAATGCCCACTACAACCCTGCTACCAGGCCACACCCCGCCCACAACAACCCTGCTACCAGGCCACACCCCGCCCACTACAACCCTGCTACCAGGACACACCCCGCCCACTACAACCCTGCTACCAGGCCACACCCCGCCCACTACAACCCTGCTACCAGGCCACACCCCGCCCACTACAACCCTGCTACCAGGCCACACCCCGCTCACTACAATCCTGCTACCAGGCCACACCGTGCCCACTACAACCCTGCTACCAGGCCACACCCCGCCCACTACAACCCTGCTACCAGGCCACACCCCGGCCACTACAACCCTGCTACTAGGCCAAACCCGGCCCACTACAACCCTGCTACCAGGCCACACGCTGCCCACTACAATCCTGCTACCAGGCCACACCCTGCCCACTACAACCCTGCTACTAGGCCACACCCCGCCCACTACAACCCTGCTACCAGGCCACACGCTGCAAATTACAACCCTGCTACCAGGCCACACCCTGCCCACTACGATCATGCTACCAGGTCACACAATGCCCACTACAACCCTGCTACCAGGCCACACCCTGCCTACAACCCTGCTACCAGGCCACGCCCCGAACACTACAACACTGCTACCAGGACACCCCCTGCCCTAACCCTGCTGCCAGGCCACACAATGCCCACTACAAACCTGCTACCAGGCCACGCCCCGCCCACTACAACCCTGCTACCAGGCCACGCCCCGCCCACTACAACCCTGCTAGTAGGTCATACCCTGCCCACTACAACCCTGCTACCAGGCCACACCCTGCCCAATACAATCCTGCTACCAGGCCACACCCCGCCCACAACAACCCTGCTACCAGGCCACACCCCGCCCACTACAACCCTGCTACCAGGACACACCCCGCCCACTACACCCTGCTACCAAGCCACACCCCGCCCACTACAACCCTGCTACCAGGCCACACCCCGCCCACTACAACCCTGCTACCAGGCCACACCCCGCTCACTACAATCCTGCTACCAGGCCACACCGTGCCCACTACAACCCTGCTACCAGGCCACACCCCGCCCACTACAACCCTGCTACCAGGCCACACCCCGCCCACTACAACCCTGCTACCAGGCCACACCCCGGCCACTACAACCCTGCTACCAGGCCACACCCCGGCCACTACAACCCTGCTACCAGGCCACACCCCGCCCACTACAACCCTGCTACCAGGCCACATTCTGCCCACTACAACCCTGCTACCAGGCCACAGAAAGACATGCATCTCCCGGTGCATACACAGGGAGACACACACCTCCCGGTGCATACACAGGGAGACACACACCTCCCGGTGCATACACAGGGAGACACCACCTCCGGTGCATACACACGGAGACACACACCTCCCGGTGCATACACACGGAGACACACACCTCCCGGTGCATACACACGGAGACACACACTCCCGGTGCATACACACGGAGACACACACCTCCCGGTGCATACACACGGAGACACACACCTCCCGGTGCATACACACGGAGACACACACCTCCCGGTGCATACACACGGAGACACACACCTCCCGGTGCATACACACGGAGACACACACCTCCCGGTGCATACACACGGAGACACACCACCTCCCGGTGCATACACACGGAGACACACACCTCCCGGTGCATACACACGGAGACACACACCTCCCGGTGCATACACACGGAGACACACACCTCCCGGTGCATACACACGGAGACACACACCTCCCGGTGCATACACACGGAGACACACACCTCCCGGTGCATACACACGGAGACACACACCTCCCGGTGCATACACAGGAGACACACACCTCCCGGTGCATACACAGGAGACACACACCTCCCGTGCATACACACGGAGACACACACCTCCCGGTGCATACACACGGAGAGACACACCTCCCGGTGCATACACACGGAGAGACACACCTCCCGGTGCATACACAGGGAGACACACACCTCCCGGTGCATACACAGGGAGACACACACCTCCCGGTGCATACACAGGGAGACACACACCTCCCCGGGGCATACACAGGGAGACACACACCTCCCGGTGCATACACAGGGAGACACACACCTCCCGGTGCATACACAGGGAGACACACACCTCCCGGTGCATACACAGGGAGACACACACCTCCCGGTGCATACACAGGGAGACACACACCTCCCGGTGCATACACAGGGAGACAACACCTCCCGGTGCATACACAGGGAGACATACACCTCCCGGTGCATACACAGGGAGACATACACCTCCCGGTGCATACACAGGGAGACAACACCTCCCGGTGCATACACAGGGAGACACACACCTCCCGGTGCATACACAGGGAGACATACACCTCCCGGTGCATTACACAGGGAGACATACACCTCCCGGTGCATACACAGGGAGACACACACCTCCCGGTGCATACACAGGGAGACAAACACCCCGGTGCATACACAGGGAGACACACACCTCCCGGTGCATACACAGGGAGACACACACCTCCCGGTGCATACACAGGGAGACACACACCTCCCGGTGCATACACAGGGAGACATACACCTCCCGGTGCATACACAGGGAGACATACACCTCCCGGTGCATACACAGGGAGACATACACCTCCCGGTGCATACACAGGGAGACATACACCTCCCGGTGCATACACAGGGAGACATACACCTCCCGGTGCATACACAGGGAGACATACACCTCCGGTGCATACACAGGGAGACATACACCTCCCGGTGCATACACAGGGAGACATACACCTCCGGTGCATACACAGGGAGACATTACACCTCCCGGTGCATACACAGGGAGACATACACCTCCCGGTGCATACACAGGGAGACATACACCTCCCGGTGCATACACAGGGAGACATACACCTCCCGGTGCATACACAGGGAGACAAAACACCTCCCGGTGCATACACAGGGAGACATACACCTCCCGGTGTATACACAGGGAGACATACACCTCCCGGTGTAAACATTTTTATCTCCCTGACTTAAGTTAATCTATAATAAAGTTACTTAATATTACTACGGTGTATATTACTGGTAATAAACGTGATTACAGGTCTCAGATCTGCTAGAGAATTAATACCTCCCAGGTGGTATTATACCTCCAGGTGGTATTAACACCTCCCGGTGGTATTAATACCCCAGGGGATTAAATACCTCCCAGGTGGTATACAGACACCCAGGTCCGGTATTATACCACCCAGGTGGATTAATCACCTCCCAGGTGGTATTAATACCACCCAGGTGGTATTATACCACCCAGGTGGTATTAACCTCCCAGGTGGTATTAATACTCCAGGTGGTATTAATACCTCCCAGGTGTATACAAGAATACCACCCAGGTGGTATTAATAACCACCCCCGGTGGTATAGATAAACACCCCCAGGTGATAAGTAACCGACCCAGGTGGTATTAATACTCCAGGTGGTATAATACCTCCCAGTGTGGTATTAATACCCCCAGGTGGTATAATACCTCCCAGGTGAGTATAATACCTCAAAGTGGTATTAATTTACTCCCAGGTGGTATTAATACGCTCCCCAGTGGTATTAATACCTCCCGTTGGTATTAAAATACTCCCAGGTGGTATTTAATACCTCCCAGGTGGTATTAATACCTCCCTAGGTGGTATTAATACCTCCCAGGTGGTATTAATACCTCCCAGGTGGTATTAATACCACCCAGGTGGTATTAATACCTCCCAGGTGGTATTAATACCTCCCAGGTGGTATTAATACCCCCAGTGGTATTAATACCTCCCAGGTGGTATTAATGACCTCCCAGGTGGTATTAATACCGCCCAGGTGGTATTAATACCTCCCAGGTGGTATTAATACCTCCCAGGTGGTATTAATACCTCCCAGGTGGTATTAATACCTCCCAGGTGGTATTAATACCTCCCAGGTGGTATTATCCGCCCAGGTGGTATTAATACCTCCCAGGTGGTATTAATACCTCCCAGGTGGTATTAATACCGCCCAGGTGGTATTAATACCTCCCAGGTGGTATTAATACCTCCCAGGTGGTATTGTGGGTTTTTGTACGAGTGAGAATGTTATTAATGTTCACTTCTAAAGTTAAAGTATTAAACAGAATTATACTAAACCTTGTTAGTGTGTGTGTGTGTGTGTGTGTGTGTGTGTGTGCGCGCTGACACTGTGTTGGCACTGTGCTTGTGCTGACACTGTGCGTGAGCAAACACTGTGCTGACTGTGCGTGTTTACACTGTGGAAGCTGACACTGTGTGGGAGCTGACACTGTCAGCAGAGAAACGGTAGGCAAAAACAGAGAAACGGTAAGCAAAACAAAGAAACTGTAGACAAAACAGAGAAACGGAAAGAAAAAAACTAAGAAAAAACAGAAACGGAAGGAAAAACAGAAACGGTAGGCAAAAACAGGGAAATGGTTAACAAAAACAGAAACGGCAAGCATAAATAGTGAAACGGTAAACGAAAACACATAAATGTTAAGAAATTAGAAACTGTAGGTAAAAACAGAGAAACAAACAAAAAGAGAAAAGGTAAGCATCAACAGAGAAACGGTAAACAAAAAACAGAAATGGCAACCACAAAAACAGAACCAACAGAGGAATCACTCACAGTCTTCAGTAATAATGAGAATAACACAATTAATCCTAATTCCTACTCCACTAATTAATTGCTGAGCTCATTACTCAACTAATTACCTTAATTACAACTTTTTAATAACTATTTTAAGTAATAAATTCAGATCAGATTTTAATAGAAATAAAAAAAAATAGTTTGCTTTATTTTTAATTTTTACTAGAAGAAGATTTTTGTGTTTTATCAAAATTATTAATGTAGTTGTAATAATAATAGTAATAATAGTAGTAGTAGTAGTAACAGTAGCAATAATAACTGTAGTAATAACAGTAATAGTAGTAATAATAGCAGTAATAATAATAGTAATAGTAGTAATACTAGTAGTACTATAAATAATTGTAGTAGTAATAGCAGTTGTAGTAATAGTGGTCGTAGTAATAATAGCAATAATAGTAATAATAGTAGTAGTAATAGTAATTATTATAATCAAGGGGGAAGCGCTAAACCCGGAGGATTATACAGCGCCTGGGGGGGGGATGTGGAAGGCATTCAGGCTTAATTCGGGGAACTGGAGCACAGATCCAATTCCCTAAATCAAGAGCCCCTCACCAACATCAAGGAACCTTCCTTGAGGGGAGTAATAGTAATAATAATACTAGTAGTACTATAAATAATTGTAGTAGTAATAGCAGTTGTAGTAATAGCGGTCGTAGTAGTAATAATAATAACAGTATTAGTAGGCAGGTAATTGTAAACAGTTTACCTCTCTTTGATGCATGGAAGGAGTCAAAGGGAGGTATCTTCTCTATCATGGTGCGCAACATGGTGGGTCGCAGCCACTTGCCACGGTTGACGCTTTCCACGGCGTACCTGAAGGCGATCTCTTGCTTCACGTCACCCTCGTCGAAAAGACCACCTGCAGGAGCAGGAGGAGACGTGTTAATAGTGATGGAGAGAGAGAGAGAGAGAGAGAGAGAGAGAGAGAGAGAGAGAGAGAGAGAGAGAGAGAGAGAGGCATAAGTTTGCTTACATAATGAGTATACTCCACTTTCTTGGACTGTCTCTCAACCTCCCCCCCCCCCCTTCCTCCTTCCCCGTTTCTTCTACGACTTCTTAACAGAATAGAAAACAGAGCAAGACGACTCATCTCTCACTTGGACACATCAACGAAATAAAAATCAGTTGACTAAACAAAATCTCCGGCGCACACACTCCGGCGCACACACTCCGGCGCACACACTCCGGCGCACACACTCCGGCGCACACACTCCGGCGCACACATTAACTATCTGTATGTTTCTGAAGACTAAAAACGTTTTAAAGTGAGCTGATGCAAGTAACAACTCTTAACTTGTAAATAAAATTAAAAAGTCATAACCTAACACTGTAAAACCCCCGTGTAAATAATAAAATCTTCCACATATATTTTTCCTATTGTTGCGGATCCTGAACTAATCTGTTTAAATAAAAATTTTGTATTTTTTAACATTGTGCATTTTATCATAATTGTATATTGGAGATATTTCCATTATTAGCTAAAATGAAAATATCTTACTTTATACTATTATTTGATGTAGCTGTCTTAGGTAGGATGCAATAGTTACATTTGATGTTGGAGAGTTGTGGTTGACTCTCCATAGGGAAAATGTTTGAGTATCGACTCACTGGTTTACTTGCCTGTGTCTGCCGTACCATGTAAGTCAGCGTCATCACGCTCAATATTGTGGCTGTGGAGGTTGGCCTCACTCAGTTACCTGCTGACCTCTCACAGGAGAATCATCAAGTTATCTCTCCGGTGGTCGATTTCGTTTCTTAGTTGATTTCCTTTCTTAAGTCTGTCACTTTCGAGTTCTTGCAGACTCTGGTGAATTAATGGTTCACTTAACTGAATAAGTCTTAGTAACCATTATAAGTTATCTTGTGGTTGATATAATTGGTGAAGATAGTACAAAGACCGAACTTATAAGGTTGATTTATCTATATTAATATGCTGGTTGAACTGGATCTTTGTAGTTAATGAAGTTATATATATATAATGTAGGTACCAAGAGAAGTGTAGGAGTTAGGCTCCGCATTCTGTGTCCAGTTTCCTAACATTACATAAATATACATTCAGCTAAATTCTACTAGTAAACATTTTAAATTTTAGTTTTGCAATCCCGAATTATTACAATTTCTTGTTACAAAACCGTAAACAATTCGTCTGTTAAACTAGAATAACTTACCTTAACTCTCTACTATGCTCTGGAGAAGTTTTAAGACGACGAGTTTTGTAACACCTGTCTTCTGTTTTTTTTATAATCACACTCCACATGCAATTTATGTGAAAAGTTTAGTTCTATTGAATGGAGTGAAAAAGAGCTCTCTCTCTTTCTCACTATCCACAGATTCATACATCTGTCTCTCCCTCTTAGCAAGTAATCCTTTTCAGTGTTCGGCCCCTCACTCCACTCTTTCATTACCTCTCCATACTAGCACAATCTTTCTTATCACTGTTCTTGTTCTCCCCTTCTTCCCTGCTTTATCCCCAGACATCTTCCTCTTTCACCTAAGACATCTTAGTCACTACTTTAAATTCGTCTCAGGCACCCACCTCCAGCGTCTCACACAGCCACCTCCAGTCTCACACAGCCACCTCCAGTCTCACACAGCCACCTTCCCACAACCTTCACACATACATACGTAAACATGTTCTGATATTAGTGTTTGGAGTATAGGGACTTAAAGGCAAGTGATAGATAAAAGAGAGGAAGAAAGAGGGTGGGTGGAGAATAAGGAAAGCAGGTAGGAGCAGGAGAGTAGGTAGGTAGATAGGGTAGGAGCAAGAAGTTAGGTAGAGAAAGTGAAGCCTGTTAAAAGTTTTACACTCTGGCATGATTGTTGATGCGCTCTATCCGACACAGTCCCCTGTGTCGGATAGAAGGATACTGGGGAGCTGCTTGTTGAGATGACCGCTGAGATGATGTCTTGAAGATAACCTTTTTGGAAATCTGAGTCATTGTGTCTGTAGTTTTTAGCGATGAAATTGAGGTCTTGTTTTGGTTTCATAATTCCTGTTACAAATTTGAGGCCTAAGCTGAGGGCTTCAGTTTCTGTGGTTGACAGTGGACGAGATGAAAATTTTTGAATAATTTCAGGTCTTCCTAAACTTTTCCACTGACTATTATCGCAGAGAGTTTGTAGTTTCCTAGTAAGTCTGATCATCAGTTGAACATTAGCTGTGGTAAATCTGCTGCGAATAATTTCGGCGGTGCGTCTGTTCATGTTACCCCCGAGTGCCGTGCCTAGTGTCCTGGCTTGGAGAAAAGCTTCCTTTGTATCATTGTTAAGTCATCTGCACACTCTTCAAGGCAGGTTCGAGGTGTTGAAGAAAGGAAGTTTGATGTTGACAGTCTGAGGAGTAGATCTTGGTAAGACCATTTCTTGGATGCAGTCACGAAGAAAATTGTCTATTGCGAAGTGAGTAAACTTTTAGAAGAAGGTCCAGGTATTCTGTGTGAAGGATCCATTTCTACTGCAGTGTTTGGCACGATGGAAATAAATGGTATAAAATACCGACACAATGGAAATATAAACACATAAGCAGTACAATGCAGCAAATTATACGTTGGCGAAACATCAATAGACCTCCAAACACGTATTTCAGAACACCAGTACGCAGGCAGATCTGACGATCTAAGGAATGCCTGTGTTGTACAAGAATGGTATACAATACCGACAAGATGAAAACTGAGACATGTGCAACATCTGGATATCTTTATGTGTCTCAGTTTTCAATGCCTGTGTTCAACACCGAAATTCACACAACCATTTAATCAAACTACAGAAACGCAAGACTTATCGCCACAAAAGACAACACTCAATACCGAAGAATCGTGGAATCATCTCTTATCTCTATATCCAACAACTTCAACCAAAACAACAGCTTCTATAACATAGCTGAACCTCTTGCCAAGAAACTTCATCGCTATCCCATATAAGAACATAAGAATGGAGGAACACTGCAGAAGGTCCACTGATATACTTATCCAATCTCTTTTTAAAGCTACCCAAGGTTCTAGACTATCACCCTACTCCGAAGACTGTCACATTCAGCATTCTCCATCTAACTAAATCCAATAAATACTCACGTATCTTTTAACCAGGTAGATCTGTTTGCGACTTGATAAAGCCCACTGCGTGGGCGAAACGTTGTCAGTAAAGGATCACATTGTACTGCTTGTTTTTATATTTCGATTGTGTCGGTATTTTATACTATTTCCACAGCAGCACACTAGTGAAGGCACCTTCCGTGTCTACCTCAGGCACAGGAGATGACAATTATTGAGTGCCAGGCAGCAACTTCAACCAGGGGGAAATGATGTCGTTCTCAGGCCGGAAGTGGCACAGGCACTACCGTCCTCCCCCGCCTTCCACGGCTGTCCCCTCCCTTATCCACTACCCCTTCATTCACTTGCCTTTTCATTTTTGCTGACCTGAAACATTCTGTCCCCCTCTCTCCTTCACTATTCTCCATTCATAGCGAACATTAATAATAAAAACAGCTGAGGTTAACGCTAAATACACACATGCGCGCGCTCTCTCTCTCTCTTACGGTGTGCACACACAAAATATACATATATACTCACACACACACACACACACACACACACACACACACACACAAACAATAAAAGAGATATCACCGGACATCTTAGCTCTCACCGAAACCAAGCTCACAGGAACGATAACAGGTGCCATCTTTCCAACGGGATATCAGACCTTGAGGAAAGACAGAGGGAACAGAGGGGGGTGGAGTGGCAATGATCATCAAAAACCAATGGGATTCTGAAGAGCTGGAGAGACAGAGGAGAAGCAAGAGACTACATAATAGGAACACTTCAGTCTGGAGGTCTCAAGGTGGTAATTGCAGTGATGTATAACCCACCACAGAACAGCCGGAGGCCAAGGCAAGAATATGATGAGAGTAACAGAGCGATGGTTGACACACTAGCTGAAGTTGCCGGAAGGGCTCATGCAAACAGGGCAAGCTGCTGATTATGAGTGACTTCAATCACAAAAAAATTGACTGGGAGAACCTGGAGCCACATGGGGGCCCAGAAACGTGGAGGGCTAAGTTGATGAAGGTGGTACTGGAAAACCTGACGTACCAACACGCAAGAGACAATACCAGAGAAAGACGAGAGGACGAACCAGCAAGGCTGGACCTAGTATTCTTCTTCAGTAATGGAGATATTGAGGATATCGCATATGAAAGACCCCTCGGGGCCAGTGACCTCGTGGTTCTGAGCAGGAAGGGCAAGACAAATGAAGCCAAACTACAAGAGGAGACTACAAAGGCATGAAGAATTTCCTGCACGAGGTTCAGTGGGACAGGGGACTGGCAGGGAAGTCAGTAAATAAGGTGATAGAACATGTGACAATATACAAGGAAGCTGCGGAGAAGTTTGTACTCAAGGCTAACAAATAACGATAAGGTCAGGACTTTCATCAGAGGAGGAACACTGAAACAAACATCAAATCCAACCGCTAACAAATATTTGTCTAACCTATTTTTATGCAACCCAAGTAATAGTTTTTGTATCCTCTTACTCATGCATAAGTTGATTGTTCTACCACATGTATTACTACTTCTACAACTAATATTATTACCACTAGTATTATACCTCACTAAGCCTGAATACACACTCTGTGTCCATGTATTGTTTGTAACGGCTTGACAAAGCTCCTGGAGAGCGAAACGTTGCCACAATAAAATGTCACATTAGTTGCACTTGTGTCCTTTTACCTAACATTGTTGGTAATTCTACCAACCTTAATACAAACTTGGATGATGACCCCGGGAGCTACGTCCGGGGTGTTGACCCCGGGAGCTACGTCCGGGGTGTTGACCCCGGGAGCTACGTCCGGGGTGTT